AAAAAAAAAAAAAAAAAAAAAAAAAAAAAAAAACACATCATAGTAAAATTAATACCTTCTCCGCTTCGCATCGAAGCTAAAAGGGATTATTAAAATTAATATATTATTATTTGTCATATTAAATATGGAATATTATTTGTCATAAAAAAAATTGTGTTGATCCATACATTTTTCAAATGATTATAGCATAATAAAATTAAAAATGTAAAATACAAAATCGAAATTTTTCACACAAAAATAGCATTCGGTAGCCATTTTCACCTTGAAGATAAAATAAAGTCCGAATTTTTTTTTTTTCATGATAAAGTATATTACATTAGCTTTAATTTAAGCTAATAAAAGTGTCAGATCTTCCGGAACATTTTCAAAAATCAAGTTGAAAAAATTTTTTGTGTAAAAGTTGTTATTTTAAATCCACCCTGTGGGCAAGTAAAGGGTCACATATAATAAAAAAATATACCAAATGAAAGTTAATGATATCATGCATCTATATAAAAAAGAATTATATAGATTTGTTCATTTTTAAAAAAGTTATGGCAGTTTTAAGTAAAATAAATTGAAAAAATTTCGAAAATTAACGATTTTTAAATTTGAAAATTTTTTGGAGGTTTCCCCCATTTACGGGGAACGAGGGAATTTTTTTCTATTTTTGAGGATAATGTCTTCGACTAGATACGATTTGTGATCTTTTGACGTATCATTGAAAGAAATCGGTTAGGTGAGAGCTGAGAAAAAGTGGTAACAGACACAAAAAAAAAAACACATCTTAGTAAAACCAATACCTTCTCAGTTTCGCATCGAAGCTAAAAGTAATTTGAGTAAAATTTGGCCATGATTAATCAACCTCTTCTGGTGCCCCCAAGGGGATGAAAATTGATAACATGTCGTTTTCTGAGTATTTTTGCTTATTGATAGAAAATTATTGCACTAATCGTAAAAATGAATAGAATTTAAAATGTAGCTATTAACATTTCCAATAAAAAGTATTCTCATAACATTTTTCTCAAGTCTATTATTTTCCAAGAAAAATGATAAAGAAGTCAATAATTTATTTTTTCTGCAAAATTTGTGTTTTACTTGTATTAATATATTTTATAACGGTTGATAATATTCCCTAGTTTACTTATAAAATGTATGAGCGATCAAATTTAACGATAAAATGTATAAAAATGCCTATGAGCGGTATCATTGTACTGGATCATGCCGTTTAAGGTGGAAATGTACACGAAATGAACGCTGCGCAGCCACATAACTATCGTTTTTTTTTGTAAAAAGATATTATCGCAAACGCGCGTTGTTTACAACTTTACTATTCCATTATTATTATACATGTTACTTTTACATGAAAAGTATTCGTCAAATGTTCTTATCTGAAANGTATTCGTCAAATGTTCTTATCTTGATATCGAGAAAAGCTAATTTTAAAATCTGCCGTTTTACAAGTTGACTGGTATGAGCATTAAATTAACTCACATTTACATTGAGTAACAAAATGCTTGCCAGTCAACTTGTTAAGTGCTCTACACTGTATTATGGCATCATCATCAAAAATGAACTTCAGAAAATCGAGTAAAATATTTTTAATTGGTAACATGTCGAATCAAATTGTTGGCAGCAAGCTACCTTCTATAAGACAAGTTTTAAGTGTACTTTTTTATAACATACGAAATGTAAAATTAAATGTTCACGATAGTGCAAAATTAGTTGTTCGTGAAATTGTTATATTCTGGGAAAAAGCACGTATTCCAGTTAGAGAAAAATATCATTTAACCGCAAAATTGAATCATTGTATAATGAATGGCGAAACCTACAAAAACATGCCACTAGAAAATTAGCTGCTGATAAAAAAAAAGAAGAAGAATTTGTAAATAAGTTGGATGATATTTTTGATATACGCGCTTTTTCCCAGAATATAACAAAAAGTACGGCGGGTATACGTCCTAAGTAAGCGACTGGTTTTAAACAGTTAGACTTAGCTTGTAAAACGTTGGGATACCCCGGAATAAAATGCTCACGTCACCACATTGTACTAATACTATATACGCATCACCCAATATCATATAAAATATATATATATATATAAAATATCACAAAAAATATATATATAATATGACAGGTGGTATTGTAACACGCCTGCCATGTTGAGGGACCTAAATAATAAAAAAATAGGGACAAATAGGGACGGTTGCATCTCCAGAGATGTTCTTCTCCAAATTGAAGCTAATTAAAAATTATTTGCGAAATTCAATGCATCAAGATCTTCTATCAAATATTGGCATTTTAAATATAGAAAGAAAAAAAGTAGATCAACTAAATATTGAAAAAATAATTAATGACTTTACTAATTCAAAAGAGTTAATTTTTTTTAATTTTTTTGTATTAAAAGACATTTAGGTAATATTCTAATTTTTTTGATTCTGTCAAGTATAAATGACTAATTATCATAAATGTAATATTTAAATATAGCATTGAGTTTATTAATTGAAAAAATAAATTTCAAATATACAATTTTCACAATTTTTTTTTGTATGTTTTGGGTACAGCATCACTTAGTATGTATAGATCAATTGTGTTTTTTAGAATAAGGCCAATATAGTTCATGAACCATACGTTATATTAGTCTATTTAACTATCGTTTTAATAAAATAATTTTATGTATGACAAATTCAAATAAAACAATCAGTCACTTACATATAGACATAGTGTATAAATCAATTAAACAGTAATATAAATTTTAAGGGTGAGGACTGAAGGCACTATATTTAGTTTTACACTAGAGCACCAAAACACCTAGTTGCTCCACTGACCCCCATCTTAATTTAAATAAAAATATAATCTATCTGATCTAAATACATTAAAATGTGATAACTCTAATTCACAATGATCAAAATGAGAGTTGAGCATTATGTCAGTAGTAAATAAAAAATCACAGAACAAAGATGAAATAACAAACCGGAAGTATGATAATTTTGTCCTTAGACCTTTAACATTCTGTTAAATACAAGAATATTTGAAAATTTTGACTATGATCACTTTTACTTTTTACAAGGATAGGAACACCTTTAATAAATTTAATTATAATATCATATTCCCCGTTTAATCTACAAATTGAAATTTCATATCTTAGTTTAAGCATTATTTATCTTAGTAATTAGTTTTATCAGTACTTATACTGATTGAAGATAAAGGAATAAGAGACAATATTTACTTTTTTTTTTTATGATATCAAATATTTCCGAAATAGTATTAAAAGATACTTTTAATGGACGAGGCTTATCACGTGCCGAACGACCCAGTTTAAATTTTTTCATTGGCTTAACGTTATCACACATTATAACTTACCATAAACCAACCCACAAATAGAACATATGCCAGGCATTATGTCAAAATAAAATTGCTAAAATACTTATTAAAAATTTATATAATAATAAAACTATAAAACGTAGTGAAATAAGAAACACGACCGCATTCAACGAATGTTTACTGATAACTAAGATTATATTGATTACATTTCAAAAATAAAAGCTCCATACATAAAATATCATTTTTTACTTATTCATATAGTCTAAATTTTTAAAATTAATTTTATACCGGAGCATAAACTTGAACGATACAAAATTTTGTGTTCCGGAATAATATTTTCGTTTTGTTCCAAATCCCTGGTCTTAATCATGTATAGAAGGCTCAAATTTTGTAGATATTATTTTAGACACATAGAAGAACATTTTACGAGCGGGACTTCATAAATATTAAATAAAACCTTCATTTATAAATAACGGCGACCCTAATATCTATAAAAAGAATTTTATAGGAAATAAAATTTCAAAAATTAACTAAAAATTATAATTTTAAAGATTATATAATAAAAACAATATTATACTTATCCATTGTAACATGACATATTAAATTCAATATTTGTTTTAACAAAATTAAAGTTTATAATTAAAGGTTATTATATCATGGTCTTTTAAGATTACGCACAGAAAAATATAAACGTTTAGATCTTATTTTTTGTAAAATGTTCAATTTTTTTTTCATGACTTGCTTATGTGTTGAATATTCATTTTATTATTCCGCTTATTAGACTATTTCATGGATCAATACTAGCATTAACATTTGATTCCAAATGATATAATATACAATAATATAATTAGGTTTAACACTAGTACATTTGATTGTAAATTCGCAAAGAAATATTAATTTATAGATAAATTAAAATTTAATTTTTATAAATTTCTCTTATTAAACTTAATTAAAATTAAAATTTTTGTAAATCAATTAAATTTCTTAATTTGGAAAGAACTCCTGTTAGATGTTGTTTAGTCTATCTACTATCATACAAATATGAAATAGTTTATAATTTATAAATATTCATTATTTTTTTTAATTCAAAAATTTGTTTACAGATTAAAATGCAGAATGAAATCATACATTTAAGTTATAGTTATAAGTTTATAGCATTTTAAGTGTTAATCGAAATTTACAAGAAATACATTAAGATCTTATAAAACAATAAATTAAATTTAGTTGAAGAATCATTTTGTTATGGCATGAGTTATAATTTAATAATACTTTGTTATTTTCCTTATACTATAATCATAGTTTATCACTTGGAAATTCCCAACCAAGTTCTGGTTTCTCAGCTACAGCCATATATACCATAGCACCACGATTTGGTAAAGGTTGAATTGCAACATAAGTTCGTTTATCTGGCGTCCAATGACATTGATATGGTAATGGTTTAGGCAATGGTGCAGGTTTATCATAAACACTTGGTTCTTGTTTCTATAAAATATTTCATTTTTACTAACATTTTATTAGCTTCAATGCGAAGCTGAGAAGGTATTAATTTTACTATGATATCATTTATTTTTGTGTCTGTTTTCACTTTTTCTCAGCTCTCACCGAACCGATTTTTTTCAACGATACGTCAAAAATCACAAATCGCATCAAGTCGAAGACATTACCCTTAAAAATTTCCCTCGTTCCCCGTAAACGGAGAAAATCTCCAAAAAAATTAAAATTTTAAAAAACAGTAATTTTTGACTTTTTTTTTCTTAAAAACTATCATAATTTTTTGAAAAATGAACAAATGAACAATTTTTTTTATATTGAAACCTTAGTTATTTCCCTTTTATTTGATATAATTTTTTTGAATGAGGGTGATTTAAAATAGCAACTTTTTTACAAAAACTAACATTTTTAACTTAATTTTTGAAAGTATTCCGGAAATATTGATACTATTTTATATACCTTAAATTAAATCTAATGTAATTACTTGATTATGGGAAAAAAAATCGAACTTTATTTTGTCTTCATGATGAAAATGGGTATCATTTGCTATTTTTATGTTAAAATTCTCGTTTTTATATTTACATTTTTAATTTTATATTTCTATAACTTTTCGAAAAATGTATAGATCAATACAATTTTTTTAAGAGAAATATTATTTATATATTTCTTTCATTCGACATATTTTTTTTTTTATTAATCGGACCATTTCTCTCAATACAGGGGGTTTAAAACTTAAAAATGCATATAGAAAGTAGAACATTTTCAACCTTATTTTTGAATGTATTTCAAAAATACTAAAACTTTTATTTATATATTTAAAATTAAAGCTTATGTAATAAACTTAATTATGAAAAAAAAAAAATTGGACTTTATTTTGTTTTTACGGTGAAAACAGACATCAAAGTTAATAAAACAAAATATGTAATTTTTGTAAAAAAATTCTTTTTTATTTTTTTAGCTTTATAATGCTATAACTTTTTGAAAAATATATGGATCATTATAATTTTTTTGAGATAAGTACTATTTATATAAGCTAATTTTACTATGATGTATTTATTTTAGCTTCGATACGAAGCTGAGAAGGTATTAATTTTACTATGATGTTTTTTTTTTTTATGTCTGTTACCACATTTTCTCAGCTCTCACCAAACTGATTTCTTTCAATGATACGTCAAAAGATCACAAATCGTATCTAGTCGAAGACATTACCCTCAAAAATTGAAAAAAATTCCCTAGTTCCTCGTAAATGGGTGAAATCTTCATAACAATTACAAATTTAAAAATCGCTAATTTTTCAAATTATTTTACTTAAAACTGCCATAACTTTTTCAAAAATGAACAAATCAATATAATTTTTTTTTATAGATGCTTGATGTCTTTACCTATCATTTGGTATATTTTTTTTGTAAATTTGACACTTAACCTGCCCACAGGGGGGGATTTAAAATGACAACTTTTTCACAAAAAATTAACTTTTTTAACTTGATTCTTAAAAATGTACCGGAAAGTCTGACACTTTTATATATATCTTAAATTAAAGCTAATGTAATGTACTTAATTATGGAAAAAAAAATTTGACCTCTGGACTTGTCTTCGTGGTGAAAATGGCCACCAAATACTATTTTTGTGTGAAAATTCTCGATTTTATTTTTTACATTTTTAACTTTATAATGTTATAACTTATTGAAAAGTGTATGGATTAACACAATTTTTTTATGAGAAATGATATTTTTTTATAATCCCTTTTTCATTCGACATTCTTTATCTTAATCAAGATATTAATAAGGAACTAGCAGAACATGTAGATTTTGGAATAATCCACCAATTTTTTAAAATTAAACACTATCTAAAGATTTGCATCGAAGCGTTTTTTTTATAGTGATTTTAATCACTGTCAGATATTATTTATACTGCACCCAACTATGCCACGCCCCACTTTGCTGATTTTTTTTCATATTATTCCCGAAACAGACATCTTTATTAAGTACCAGTATAGATAATAATTGAAGTACTGCACCAGTATTGGCAATAACCATTTGACAGCCTTTATTAGGATAGGGTTTTTATTGGCTGATATTTTATTTTTGTAATCATATTTTTATTAAATTAATTGAATTAAAAATTATAATATATAATAAAATTAATAAATAATTTAATCATTTATACAAATTATTAGCCAAACCAAACCTCGGTAAAATTCAAGTAAAAAATCCAACATATAACAGGATAGTCCAACATGTTCTGACCAGCCCTATAACTTTTGATGTAGTTAATATTTACAATCCTTTATATATACAATTGTTATACTTTTACTATAATAATATCATTACTATAAAATTTAAACGTAAATTATTTTAATTCAAAGTGTAGATGAGAAGGTATTGGTTTTACTATGTTTTTAATTCAATTTTTATTTTTATTCCTTCCTTCAGTGTGACCAAATAGAATAAAAAATTATACATGTTTTCATCTCGTGTTTTACAAATTTAATAAGTTTAGTGGCACTAATTGTACCATGGGCTGTAGAAAAAATTAATTTGTTCCTATTAGANGAAAAAATTAATTTGTTAAAAAAAAAAAAATATATTTTGTGAAAAAAAATATATTCCTTTGTAAAAAAAATATCTGGCAACATCACTACAAATAACAATGTGCATTAGGTGTTGCTATTATACAAATTATTTCTGTAATATTAACTTAAGCTACTAACTCATAGTAAATAAATTGATAACTTACGCCCCACTTACAACAAGATGGTGTCTGACCCGATTCAGCAATCGATTGTTTAATAAGTCCTAGGAAATACTTCATAAAATTATTTCGATGTTTCAACACGTTCACATCTCTGCTTTGCAAAGATTTAGCTCTTGATATCCATTTTTCGCAAATAGCTCGTTCTATATTGTTCAAATACTATGTATGTTATATTTTTTTAAAACGGATAAATGTTTAATAATATTATTTAATTAGATTACCATGTATTATTATACTTAAAATTACATGTTACGGTAATTGCTTTTATTTTATAAATTGCTTTTGAACAATTAGATAGATTTTTAAAATTATAATTAATAAATACAAGTAAAATATTTGTTTATTTTTTAATAAATTAAATTACCATCCATATCACGCATTAATGGAAGCATAGTTTTCGAAACTTCTACCATTTCAATAAAATCTTTAGTATAATCAGTTGCCATGTTATAAATATATACTATTTTGAATTATAATTTAAAATTTACTAATTAGTTTTAAGTGACAATTTATTTAAACATATGAAATATTTTATCATTAAAAATAAATAATTTTAGCCACTACATAAATTAATCCTTACCTCATTTTTTATTGTTAGCAACGTTTAATCTACAAAATATTCTGTGTCTATTTTTCAAAAGCTATATATCATATTTAATAATTATTAAATATGATTATTAATTATAATTATAACTAATTGTATAATTATAATTATACAGGATAGCTAAATCAAATTAACAATTTAACGGTGTCCTACAAAATCAATAAATAATTGAAGCCTAAACAACTAACCTCCGCGTTAAAATTTGTTGAAAATGAAAGAAAACATTCTCTTCTATACAATTTATAAAAATTTCAGAAACTCATTTTTATAAGGTACAGACATTAAAAATAAGCCACAGAATCAAATAAATAACTAGATGTCAAATTTTTTTATTTGATTACTTTTATAGGGGAAAAAATCCTGGTAAACCCAACCCAACCGCCATACATAACTGAGTATTGGTTCAGCATTGTTCGTATTTAACGAACACGAGTTCAACAGTTCGGCAATAAATTATATCGGAACTTGTTGAGGAATTAGCTAAAATTGACAACTTGCGTTATCGTTTACAATTGGTTTGTGATCACGTGGAAAGAGCTGCTTATAAATAATACTTGTTTGACATTTGTTTGAGAGTTACCAGTCAGACCGCTAGTTATTATTTTACCAAAATCATACATACATCCACCGATTGTTTATTAGTCAATCTGTAATAGGATTTTTAGTAAATTTCATAATTGTCGAAGTTTATAAAATGTAGTTTATCAGATTTGTCAGAGATTATAATTTCCCTTTATTGAAATCTAACATTTATCTGTACACTAGGGTGAATAGCAACTTTTGGATAAAAAGTTAACCTTTTCAACTTAATTTTTAAGAATGTTCTAGAAATACTACAAAATTTAAACATATGTAATTTAAAGATTAAGTTAAACAAAATTGTGCCGACGACTTGTGTTTTATATGTAAACTGCCCCCAAAGTTTAACAAAAAATATTATTTATGTGTAAAAAACACAGATTTTGTTTTTTATCATTTTCTACTTCATTTTTTATTTTTTCAATTAATTATGCCTATATTTCAGGTCAAACAACATAGTCATATAGGAGGGGAAATATACCCCATTTAACCACCCCTTTTACAAAAAATAATAAATAAATTTAAATGTTAGTAATAAATATTTTTAGGGAAAATTTTCGCAGTTTTTAATGTCAATCTAATAAATAGAGAAGACTAGGGTACAATTGAATGTGGGATTTTAATTTATTAAATAATATTAGTTGTAGTTACAAGTAAACTTCACGTAAAATAAACATCAAATGTTGGATACAGCATAACCAATCTTCTATTTTTTATGTAAATTTAATTCATTTCCACAATTAGTTTTATTTAATGAATTAAAATATGCTCTACATTCAAATCTCCCCTACATTTAAAGGGAGATGCCCTTTTCAAAAAAAATGTTTTCACTATTAATGTTTTAAATTATTACCATAGTTTCTGTGAGGACCACAGCCTCACAGCCTTTGGTAATTATTGTGCCACATCTTTTCAAGACGTCAGCGCCCCAATATATTGGCCTACTAATATAATATAAAAATAATAAAATATAAACATTTTAATATAGAAATTTTACATAGATATAAATATTTTTGCTTCTTATTCTATCTAGGCCAAAGGAAACTTTAAAAAATATTGATTGAATATAATATCTCTCAGTAAAATATACTTTATCATATAAAATGATTATTTAACTTATATAAAAGTCGTAGGAATTCGGCTGATTTCAGTACATAGTCGATTCGGCAAACACCTAGACGAGACTTATGCCTCCTTACCCTTAACATCCGGTCGATCAACGACCGAACTCGGAACGTGGGCCCCAGTTGAAATTGCAAAAAGTCCGGCTCCTGAATCCACGTCTCGCACCGGGAGAGGATTCATGCCCCAGATTGGGCATGAGTCTCACCAGACTACCCATGACTTTCAGGACCCGCTAGGCCTTATGGGTAATGTGTGACTCAAACATTAAACGTTTGTCTATAACCAGGCGCAGATACGTCATGGAGTCTTTCAGCGAGATCTTCACCCCCAGTATAACGAGACTTGGATAAGTGTACTTGTATTTGTCCAAAAACAGATCCGCTTTGGTCTGTGAATAATTATTTTTATAAATAATCATGGATGAAATATTTACATTTATTTTAGCCATAATATTTTTTAAGATAAATTTCCAATGCTCAACGGGATATTTTTTAATAACCAAGTGTACGTTATTTTTTATTTGAAAAAAAAATTTAAAAATTAATTGAAATGTATAACGTTTTGCTACATCATACCGTTTTCAGTTGCCAAAAAATTGTTAGATAGCGCTACAGATTAAAGTTCAATTAAAAATAAAATATTATAGTTATTTTTATTTAATAATAATAATGTTAGTAAAATTTTTTATTTAACTTATCAGGAATATGCAAAATAATATCTATGAAAACACATTTATCATAAATTATGAACTAAAAATTAACTATAAAATAATTACGTTACCCGCCATAAGTAGCAAATAATTTATATAAAACATATAGTTAGTTCAGTGACATTCGTTCGATACAGTCGTGTGCTCAATCTTATCACCTGTTATCTTTCATTTTAAATATGAATTGTCCAAAGTGCAATTGTGCAGTAACCGATCGCGACCTTTTAAAGTGTACTAAATGTTCTAAATCGTATCATAATGATTGTTCTTCGCTTGCTAATTTAATGCCTGATGTTTTTAAAAAACGTGCTGCTTCTTGGCTGTGTAATACTTGCTCTAAGAAAATTCCGTCTTCTCCGACAAATCCAACAAATTTGAATAATTTAAATACCGAATATGTTTCTAAAATTGATAATATCCTCTCAACATTAAGTGAAATAAAACTATCCATTTCTAGACATGAGTCCTCGTTCTCTGAGCTGAATAGTAAACTTGACAAAGTTGCCAGTCAATTGCTGGAATTGGGTGGACGTACTACTATGCTTGAAAACACAGTTGTTCAAATAGAGAATCGCATTTTTATAATGGAATCTTCTAAATCTTCATTAGATGAATCACTAGTATCTGAAGTAATTGATAGACAATCAAGATCTCGTAACTTAATCTTTTTTAATGTGCCGGAATATGATGCAACGACCTCATCATTAAACGATAAATTATTGATANTGCAACGACCTCATCATTAAACGATACATTATTGATAAAAACTGTTTTGGATTGTATATCTCCTAACATGAATACTACTGTATTATCTAGATTAGGACAAAAATCGGGTAAACCGCGCCCAATAAAAGTTACTTTTCGGGAACCATATGATATATTTGTTGTTCTTAAGAATAAACATAAACTGCGTACTTCTCCAGTATATGGATCTATTCGTATATCTCCGGATCGCACCTTAATGCAACGAAATCATCTTTGTGATGTTTTATCTAAACTCAAGGAACGTAAAACAGCTGGGGAATCAGATTTAATATTAAAGTTTGTTAAAGGTATTCCAACCATTTCAAAAAACTAGTAAGATAGTCAGTCCATAGAAACTTAAAATTTTACTATCAAAATGTACGTGGCCTTAACACCAAATTAAATATTTTAATGCGAAATGTTTGTTTATCTGAATACGATATTATCGGTCTGTGTGAAACATGGTTATCTACAAACGTCAATACATCGGAATTGGGACTTTCCAATTATACTACCTATCGCTGTGACGGTAACCAAAATACAAGTACTCATTCCAGAGGTGGTGGTGTTTTGTTATCGGTTAATAATAAGTTCCATTCTCGCGTATTACCTGTACCGGCTAGTCCAGTCGAACACATATTTGTCATAACTAAAATTAATCTTAATTATATAATTATTGGTAATGTTTATTTTCCTCCTCTATCAGACATTTCAATTTATAATATTCATTTCGATATTATTAATAATTTATTATTGAAGTTTTCATATGTTAAAAACTTAATTATGGTTGATGATTACAATCTTCCTGATTATATATGGCTTCATACATCCAATGGATTTATTCCTAGTCTAGAAAACTTAAGTAACCATTACTCTGAAATTCTATCTAAATTATCTTTTTTAAACCTTTTTCAATACAACAATATTTATAACAAAATTGGATCAATTTTGGATTTAGTTTTTTCTGATTTACATAATGTGTCTGTTAAAAAATCTAATAATCCTCTTGTTCCTTGTGATGCTTATCATCCTGGCTTACTCATTTCTTTTCCCATAGTTGTAAATAAACCGATTGATTATAATTTTTGTATTTATAATTTTTTTAATTGTAACTACGCGGAAATAAATTTCACTTTATCATCGATCGACTGGAATAACCTATTTAAAGACCTATGTGTAAATCAAGCTGTCAATTTGTTTTACTCTATTATTTATGAAATTTTTGAGAGTTTTGTACCTAAAATCATTAAAAAACATTCTACTCATCCTCCATGGTTTAGTAGAAATTTAAAAGAATTAATTTTTAGGAAAAATATAGCCCATAAAATTTTTAAGAGTTCGAGTTTGGTGAGTGATTATAATAAATTTTCTAATCTTCGTGCAAAATGTAAATATTTTTCAAAATTTGACTATCAAAATTACTTAAAAAAAATTCAAAATAATTTAAAAACTCATCCTAATCAACTCTGGAAATTTATTAATAACAAACGTAGTAATAATTTTCTGGNAACATACGTAATAATAATTTTCTGGCGAATAGTTTACATTTATTCAATGAAGAATTTATTACTCCTAATAACATTGTTAATGCTTTTGCTAATTATTTCTCCAGTGTTTACGAAGACTACAATAATGTTAATGTAAATTACAATTATAATGTACCGCCTAAAGTTCTTTCTTCTTCTATGCACTCTGTCTCAATTGAATTAATTGATATATTTCAGTCTCTTAGCCCTTTAAATTCTAAATGCAGTCCTGGTCTTGATTTAATACCAAGTGTATTTTTAAGAAATTGTAAGTATGCTATTTCACTACCTCTATTTCTTATCTTTAATTTATCACTGTCATCTGGTACTTTCCCCGACGCATGGAAAACTAGCCTCATTCGACCTATTCCTAAGACCTCTACTGATATTTTAAATATCTCTAACTATAGACCAATATCTTTACTTTCCCTTATACCAAAAATATTTGAATCTATTATAGCAACTAAAATATTACCCACTTTAAATAATATTATTGTTGATGATCAACATGGCTTCACTCGTAACAAGAGTACGATTACTAATCTGCTTAACTTTCATACTTTTGTTTCTGATGCTATGTCAGATAAATCAAATGTAGATGTTGTTTACACAGATTTTGCTAAAGCTTTTGATAAAATTAATCATCAAATTTTATTTTATAAATTAGAGAAAATTGGTATTTGTGGTAACTTTCTATCCTGGCTTATTTCTTTTATCAAAAATCGACATCAAATAGTTGCATATAAAGAATATTGGTCTATACCTATACCTGTTACGTCGGGTGTTCCTCAAGGGTCTCATTTAGCACCAATTTTATTTTTAATTTTTATTAATGATATTACATTTCAAAATTGTTCTAAATTAATGTTTGCTGATGACATAAAAATTTTTCGTAGAGTTAATTGTCAATCTGATTCTGATTTACTTCAATCAGATCTAAACTCTCTTTATGAATGGTGTATCAATAATAAATTTACTCTTAATATTAATAAATGTAAGATAATGTCATTTTCCAGAGCTAGAATCGTTCCTAAATTCGTCTACCATATAAATGCAGAAATAATATCTCGTAGTATGGGACCGATAAAAGATCTTGGTATTTTGTTTGATTCTAAACTCAAATTTGATAGTCATATTAATAATATTTTTATAAGATCAAACAAAATATTAGGCTTCATTCAACGTAATTGTGGCGACTTTACCGATAAGGATGCCTTTAAATCCATTTACTGCTCGTTAGTTCGCTCAATTTGTGAATATGGCTCCATAATTTGGTCTCCTTACCAAACTAGTTATAAATTAAAATTGGAAAAAATTCAACAAAAATTCTTACGCTTTATTTCTTTAAAGTGTTTTTGGTATTAAGCACTATTAAGTGCTTAATACCAAGAGAACCTCATTCTTCATACACCCCTCTATTAGCAATTATGAATTTTGAGACATTGGAACTACGAAGAATGCGGTTAGATATTTATTTTACCTTCNGGAACTACGAAGAATGCGGTTAGATATTTATTTTACCTTTAAAATTTTTGCTGGTCAAATAGATTGTCCGATACTTTTGAATCGATTTTCATTTCATGTACCATCTTGTAGCACCCGTAATATAAAAATATTTTACATTAACACTACAACAACGAACTATGCTAGTAACTCTCCCATAAACAGAATTATGAAAACAGTTCATAATTTAAAAATTGATTTATTCTTTTCACCAAACTTCCACTCATTTAAAACTTATTGCAATTTCATATTTTATAATTCACACGTTTTTTAGTTTTATTTTAAATTTAATTTTTGATTTTTGTGTTATTTCTTCTTTACGGTATGCTTACATTGTACATTGTCTTACAAGCACTAATTGTTGTTATATTTGTAATACTTTATTCTTAGTTATAGCTTTTAATTTTTTTTTTTTTCATTTTCACTATTTTTCTTTATTAATAATATTGTTACGAATGATGTTACTTTTAATTAAAAATTTTTTGTAATTGGGCTTGTCCCGTTTGAAACTTATATAAATAAAAAATAAAATAAATAAATAAAATACACTCTGCTAACAAAGTAATTAATTTTTCTTTTGGTAATCTAGTGTTCGCAATAATTATATTGCCTACTAGAGTGGCATTTCTTTATTTATCGCACCATTTTGTAAGTTTTCTTTCATTATTTCATTCCTATTTTTATACTTTTTCAACGGTATTCCTAATTGTATATTATCATCCGTGATCAAATAATTAAATATTAAATTCACATTTTAACATATTTCATTTTCAACGGAGATCATAACCTCCATGTTGAAAACCATGATAAAGATAGGCTTCTATTTATCCCTTTAATCCTTTACAATGATGCTCGTAACAATATGTTATCAACCACGATTCAAAAGGTTATATTCATTTTTTTAATCAATTTAACTAGTTCCTAAAGTGTCTACTATGATAGGTCATACACATATTCATTGTAAATGTTACAAAAATAAAACGGAATATGATAATTATTTGAGAAAAATTGTATTATGTTTTCATATTATTAGTGGTACAAACTATGTAATATAAATTGCATTGTTACATTATTAAATAATTACATAAGTTACATTGAATACATAGATAAAACGTTTTCAAATGATATATATTGAAAATATCATATAAAAGTTATATAAGAATTTGTAATATACAAGTATTATCATTTTGTACTGAATGCGGCAGCGTAGGAAATAACTCCATTTCGTGGTATAGGCTGTCTAGCAAAAAATAATTTAGGTTCAATTTCATCTGGTAGGCAATATTTTTTATTTGAAGTATCTTGGGGTGTAGGATGACATAATCTACTGCAAGGTAGTTTTTCTTTGAACACCTGATTATATACAGATCGTGGCATAACAACACTCAAAGGACGTAATTCTGCCGGTGGTATCTTAGTAAAAGGTGGTACTAATTTTCCATTGTTTAAGCACATGATCAAAAATCTAAGGTACATTGCTCGCTCTTCTCGCATTTCTTCACATTTTGTCATTGTGTCGAGTCTAACAATACAACAACTCACAATTAAATTTGTTGAGTTTTTACTAAAATTTTTGTTTAAAATTGAATTAATTAAACGGCAAGTTGACGACGTTGTGATGTCGTCAGTCCCTGTGCCCTACCGTTATGGGAAAAATTCTTATATACACTTAAAACTTGTTGCACTATTTCTACTAACTGCTTTTTAAAACAAATATCATTAATAAAAAATAATTGTCGAGCTATAATAATATTATGTAATTATTATTTTATATATTGAAGACTATGAAAAATGAAATTTATTATTTCATTATTATAAATATTATCAAATATGATTTGGATAATATTAATAGTTCCCCTGTGGGGTCGGGGATTAGAATAGACCCACAGTAACTCCTGCTTATCGTAGAAGGCGATTAGGAGGTAGCGGAGGGCAGCAGTAACCGCTACTACCGACCATTGGCGAGTTTTGCAACAGAACTAACGGCAATGGAAGTATTTGACAGAGGCAATTTGGACATACTCCAAACACTGGCTTGTCAACTGCGATGTGGAAGGAGAAGGATACCACCACATTAGAACTCCTAGTAAGCAATATAAACCGAAATTATGAAGAGATGGAGGTTACTAGACCAGATATATTCGGAAATATCAGTTGTCTCGGCAGTNTGGAGGTTACTAGACCAGATATATTCGGAAATATCAGTTGTCTCGGCAGTAGAAGAAGCAAGGCTTCTCAGGTCGTTAACAAGCGAAAGCCTTGCCAAAACATCGGAACGTGGAATGTGAGAACTATGTTAAATATTGGAAAGTCGGAAAATATCAAAGTGGAAATTTCAAGGTTAAACATAGATATATTGGGAGTAAGTGAAACACGATGGGGAGGAAACGGAGATTTCTGGTCCGATAATTACCGTGTTATCTACTCTGGAGGTGAAAGAACAGGAAGAACCGGAGTTGGAGTAATAATAAACGAGAAATGGGGTCAACAAGTGATAAATAAGATAGCGTACAATGACAGAATTATAATGGTGAAAGTTAAAGCTGAACCCAACGATATCGTAGTAATTCAAGTACATTTTCTAACAACTGAAGCAGAGAACAACGAGATAGAAGAAATGTACGCAGGACTCGAGGAACTCTGTAAATTAGCGAAAGGAAGTGACAACTTAATAATAATAGGGGATTGGAACGCTGTTGTAGGTGAAGGTGCTGATGGGCAAGTAGTAGGAGCCTATAGATTGGGTACTAGAAACGAAAGGGGAGACCGATTTATAGATTTCTGCAAACAATATGACTTAGTCATAACAAATACATACCAAAACATCCATCGGAGAAAAAGGTATACGTGGAAAATGCCAAGGGACATTGGACGATACCAAATCGATTATATATTGGTAAGAAAACGCTTCAGAAATCAAGTTCGGAGATGTAAAACTTACCCAGGCGCCGATGTGGACAGCGACCATAACCTCTTAATGATGAAAAACAATGTTACATATAAAAAACTGACGAAACCTATAAAAAAGGAAAGAAGATATGACGTAAATATGCTAAAAGATCATAATACAGCGTTAGCTTATAAATCATGCATCAGTAAAACATTCAAAGCACCCTCACAAATTGAGTCAACAAATATAAGATGGGAAGCAATCAAAGAAACTATACATAATGCAGCCAATAAAACTCTTATAAGAAATACGTTAGATCCCAAAAAACCATGGATAAATGAACAAATTCTAAGAGATATTGACGAAAGAAGAAAGTACAAAAACTTCAAAAACAACCAAGGAATAATAAAATATAAAGAACTTAAAAACAAAATAAACAGAAATGCAAAAGAAGCAAGGGAGAAATGGCTGGAAGATAGATGTCATGAAGTAGAGGTATTACTAAAAGAAAACAAAATGGACTAAGCGTTTAATACAATAAAGACATTTGTCAATAGTAAAACAAAAGTTAAAGGCAACATAAGAGATGAAAACGGAAATCTACTAATAGACAACGAAGACATTGCTAGTAGATGGAAACAATATCTTGAAGTTCTGTATCAGATAATGAGGGTGCATCAATCCTAATGGAAGAATTCAATCAAGTCCTTAAGATGATGAAAACTAGGAAAGCCCCAGGTGTAGACAATATATCAACAGAACTGATTCAAAATACAGGTACAAAAATTCAGAACGAATTGTTCAAATTGGTAAATGACATCTATACAGAGTGATTTTTTTATCATAACCCACTCAATTACTTACAGAATAATAATAATTTATAAATTTTTTTTTATTATTATCTTTTGATACACATTATTCTTGAATTATTAACTATGTAATACTTTTTAAGTTCATCCCTTATGCCTGGTAAGGGTGTCAATTTTGTTTTTTTAAATGGTAACACATATTTTTAATTTAATAAAATGTTTGAGTTTTTAATTCAATAGTAAATGGCATTTGAATTTTTAATAAAACTTAATTTGTTTATTAGATATAAACATTTAAAGTTTCAAATTTTTGAGTTAATATATAGGTATAATACACAAGGGATTACAAATACAGGTAGCTAATTGGTTTTTTATGACATCGATATTAGCAGGTACACAGCATTGTTATTATCAATGATAGTAAGGTACATTGTTGTGAGTTTATAAATACACTAACTGACAATACAAAAAGTATATCTATTGATAGTCATAATTGATAATAAACAATCCGTGACTGTGATAGCAATATCATAAAAAACCAATTAGCTACCTGTATTTGTAATCCCTTGTGTATTATACCTATATATTAACTCAAAAATTTGAAACTTTAAATGTTTATATCTAATAAACAAATTAAGTTTTATTAAAAATTCAAATGCCATTTACTATTGAATTAAAAACTCAAACATTTTATTAAATTAAAAATATGTGTTATCATTTAAAAAAACAAAGTTGACACCCTTACCAGGCATAAGGGATAAACTTAAAAAGTATTACATAGTTAATTATTCAAGAATAATGTGTAACTAAATATAATAAAAAAAAAATGTTTAAATTATTATTATTCTATAAGTATTTGAGTGGGTTATGATAAAAAAATCACCCTGTATAACTGGAGAAATACCAGATGATTTCAAAAAAGACATTATAATTACTCTCCCCAAGAAAGCAACGGCGGAAAACTGCAATGAATATAGAACCCTGACTCTGATGATACACTCGGCTAAAATCTTAGTAAAAATTATAGGTAACCGGATAGAACATAAAATTGAAAGACAATTAAGTAATGATCAATTCGTATTTAGAAGAAACAAGGGTACTAGAGAAGCAATCTTAAGCCTTAGAACATTAATTGAAAAACAGATCGAATTTAACAACGATACATTTTGCATTTATTGATTAGGAGAAGGCATTTGACACAGTTCCCTGGAAGGAACTTTTTAAGACATTAGAAGAAATAGGCATTGATTATAGAGACAGCCAGTTAATATACAACATATACAAAGAGCAATTAGCTATAATAAAAGTGTCAGACAAGTCTGCAACAGCTAAAATAGGAAAAGGAGTAAAACAAGGGTGTCCACTGTCACTAAAGTTATTTAATATTTATGTAGAACAATCTATCAATGAAATTAAAGAAACATTCGCCAGAGATAAAATTGGAGAGATAGTAGGAGGAGAATTGATATCATTTTTAAGATTCGCCGATGACGTAGCTCTTGTTGCAAGCAGCGAAAAACGATCTCAAAAGAGCATTAGAAGAAATAGCAAAGTGCTTCCAAAATTATAACCTTAAAATCAACTGGAATAAAACCAAGGTAATGATGTGTCAAAAAAAGAATCGTATTCACAGAATAAGAATTAAAATTGATAACCACAATCTAGACCAAATGGAAAACTTTAGATATCTAGGTAGTATAATTAGTCAAGATGGAAAATTTACTATGGAAATAAAAGAAAGGATCGCTCAAGCAAAAACAGCATTTATGAACAAAAGAAACCTACTGTGCTCTAAAAACATGAATATACGTATGAGGAAACGGCTGGTAAAGGTATATGTGTGGAGTGTCGCACTGTACGGATGCGAAACATGGGTATTAAACAAAACGGAACAAAAGTTCCTCGAAAGTTTCGAGATGTGGTGCTGGAAAAGAATGTTGAGAGTAAGCTGAGTAGAAAGAAGAACTAACGAAAATGGTTTAAACGAAATAAATGAAAACAGGAAGATACTTAGCACCATAAAAGAAAGAAAATGGAATATGATTGGTCATGTATTAAGACACGAAGAAGAGCTTCTGTATATTATAATAGAAGGGAAGATGAATGGCAACAGAGATCGAGGACGACCAAGAACGTCTTATATCAAAAAGATGATTTCCGATGCGGGTCTAGCAAACTATAAGGAGCTGAAGAGGTTAGCTGATAATAGAGATGAATGGAGAAATTTTGGAAAATTGCAAAACCAACCTTAGGGTTGATCAAAAAAAAAATATATTAATAGACTTGGGAAATTAGTAAAATACTAGTCATAATCAAATAGCATCTTTTTATAATTTTCATAGAAATCTTTTTTACTATCTTCATAAGTTATATTACCTTTCTAGCCATTTATAAACTTTTTCACGTTCACTGACAGTTATTAATTGAGCTAGTACAATAGCAAATTGACGGTCACACACATAGGCCTCGTTAGAAAAAGTCGATGCTACTACATGACTATTTTCTAAATCGTTTATAGATTTATTTTTGCTTGCTAATTCTTGTACAACTGCATCAACATTTTCATTGGCCATATAATAAAATTAATTAATTATATGATTGAAAGGTATAAAAAATTACTATTGAACCTTAATACAAAAAAAATAATACATTTATGTGTTATACCATTTATCATTTGTTTTAAAATAAATAATTGATTTCAAATGTTTAATTATTGGCCAGTATGAGTTAACAAACATAAACGCGATTTATATTCACTAATGCGTAATCCAATGGTATAAAGGTGCAGCACCACACAAGTGATGTATATAAATATATATATATACAGAGTTATTTTTTTATCTTAACCCACACAATTACTTACAGAATAATAATAATTTAAACATTTTTTTTTTTTTTATTATCTTTAGTTACACATTATTCTTGAGTTATTAACTATATAATACTTTTTAAGTTTATCCCTTATGCCTGATAAGGGTGTCAACTTTGTTTTTTTAAATGATAACACATATTTTTAATTTAATAAAATGTTTGAGTTTTTAATTCAATAGTAAATGGCATATGAATTTTTAATAAAACTTAATTTGTTTATTAGATATAAACATTTAAAGTTTCAAATTTTTTAGTTAATACACAGACTATATGAAAACAGATAGTTCACTTAGCCGAGAACAATAGAAAAAAAAATCAAGCTCTCTGATTGGGCAGAAGACAAAGCAGTAGAGACTGTTGTACAATTTCATATTATTGTGCAAATATTTTACAATAATATTGTACAATTCCTCTATCAGTTACAAAAATTATCAATGATATTGGAATTAGTGACACTATTGCATTTTAAATACTTGAACAATAATTAATTATAACTGTTCGCATACTTATTTTGTTTAAATAACATTTAGTCTTAATAAAAATGTTTGTTTTTTAAATATTGTCTGGCATTATGAATATTGTGTTTAATTTGTATAAAAGTTGACATTTTGTGTAGTTTATTATTTTATAAATTTTTTGTCAACGTTTAGTTAGTTTTACCTATAATATATGAAGCTGTAATTTTTTGTAAAACTGTTAATAGTATTACATTTTTTATAAAATTTGAATTATTTTAGATATAATAAATAATAATATAAATTATATAATAAATTTTATATTTTTATTATTATTATTATTGTTAGCCATTTTTTGGCCAAATTATAGCCATTTTCACCGTGAAGACAAAATAAAGTCCGAAATTTTTTTTTCCCAAAATAAAGTATATTACATTAGCTTTAATTTAATATATATATAAAAGCGTCAGTATTTCCGGAACACTTTCAAAAGTTAAGTTGAAAAAGTTAATTTTTTGTGAAAAAGTTGTCATTTTGAATTCCCCACTGTGGGCTGGTAAAGGGTTAAATTTATAAAAAAATATACCAAATAATAGGTAAAGACATCAAACATCTATATAAAATTTTCATTTTTGAAAAAGTTATGGTAGTGTTAAGAAAAAAATGTCAAAAATTACTGATTTTTAAAATTGTAATTATTTTGGAGATATCTCCCACTTATGAGGAATGAAGGAAAATTTTTCAATTTTTGAGGGTAACGTCTTCGACTAGATACGATTTGTGATCTTTTGACGTATC